ACAGTAAATGTTAGTTAAAATATAACGTTTTTAATTTTTTTGATATCGCCTAAAATCCCAGGCCTTAACTCACTTGAGTTTGGTAGCATTACTAAAAGGGTTACGCCATGGATGGGTGTCGCAAATTCAGGTAAGCGATATTGCATTGGCGACACCATTTTGAACCGTAAACTTTACTAGGAACAAGGTTCACTTTGCAAAAGTAAAGAGATCGCTGGTTTTAAGCTTCATGCATTCTTCAGTTGCGGATCCAGAGTGTTACAAAGGGTTGTGGCTGAATATTAAACTGAAATAAAAAATGAATCAAATTAGCAGTGCTTTAGTTGTTATTATTTTTTGTACCCTAAAAAAGCGAGCGGCTCTCCCTGGATCCACCCTTGTTTGCTATATATATTTCTCCCTAGCTTTAAACTCAATGACTTGTCTGAATATTCAAAATCAGCAACTATACTACTAATGTTAGCAATGCTCTTTCTTTGCTTGGGATCAGTTAATGTTCCTCTTCAAGTAACGGACGGGTAAAAATACTCAACCACTGAATGATATTGTTATATTGCAGCATTCCAAGTCTGGTACATCTTCAAGCAATATAAGAAATGCAAAGAGACGGCTAAAAAAGCTAAAGAGAGTTTAGCAAATATGACAAAATTGGTTGCAAATAACACAGAGAATTTAAACGAAGTCAAAGAAAGTTATCTACTCATGCAATTGGTAAATCATCCGTGAGCATTAGTCGATAATCATGCCATTATGCAGTACAACGTCGCGTGTATGCAAGAACCTTGGCAATCTGAACAGGTTCTTAAAAACAAACAAACAAAAAGCAAAACAAACGCAAAAACAAAAACAAAGAAGCACAAACAAAAACAAAAAGCTTGAAATCACGCTATCCATCGGTTCTTTGCCGGGGTTCTTTGCACGAGGATTAAATAAAACAGTGCATGATACCAAAAACACATTTATAAATGGAGAACACAGTAATTTTTGTAGCAGAAGATAAAAGCATGTTTTCCTTTC